GATCTCAGCTCACTGCAAGCTCCGCCTCCCGGGTTCACGCCATTCTCCTGCCTCAGCCTCCCAAGTAGCTGGGACTACAGGTGCCACGCCTGGCTAACTTTTTGTATTTTTAGTAGAGATGAGGTTTCACCGTGTTAGCCAGGGTGGGCTCGATCTCCTGACCACGTGATCCGCCTGCCTCAGCCTCCCAAAGTATTGGGATTACAGGCGTGAGCCACTGTGCCCGGCCAAGAAGCTTGTTTTCAGTAATTGATCACATTCAGTTCTTTCAAGTCAAGAACCTGATTGATTCTGTACACTTCTCTTTATACCTAATGAACTTCTGTTCTGTTGATTTCTACCATTTAAGTATTTTCCCCCTTAGTTCTTAACAACTGCGTTTCCTGCCTCCAGAATAAGCTGAAGTCCTCCAGGATGTACTGTGGGTTTCTCTAAGAAACTTAACACTCTATTTTTCTTTCCCCAGATATCCCAGAAGAAACTGAAGAAACAAAAACTTATGGCACGGGAGTAAATTCAGCATTAAAATAAATGTAATTAAAAGGAAAAGAATGTTGGTTGTCTTTATTAGTGAACGTATTTCAGGTGTCCTTAGAAAATGAATCAAATGAGAATTTTTAGGATTGGAATTACAAACACAGATTGCTTACCTTGCACCATTAAAAACCATTTTCATGGTTGGGCACAGTGGCTCATTTCTATAATCCCAGCACTTTGGGAGGTGGAGGCTGGCTGCTTGAGCCCAGGAGTTCAAGCCCAGCCAGGGCAACATGACAAGAACCCTGTCTTTAAAAATAATACAAAAATTAAATGTGGTGTCGCTTCCATGTAGTCCCAGCTAACGGGGGAGGGGGGGGCTGAGGTGGGAGGCTGCAGTGAGCACTGCTGCAATCCAACGTGGGTAAGACAGAACAAGACCCTGTCTCAAAAAAAATGTTTCATTATCCCAAAAGGAATTTGCAATGGTTTTCTTTATAGAATAATCCAGTGTGTGAATATACCAGTTGGTCATCCCTAGTTGGAAATGGCTCCATTGAGCATTGCCTTTGAGTGTCATGACAGCCCTCAGGCTCAGGTTTTTAAGTTTTTTAGGTTGATACTCAGGGTTTTGTTTTCGCTGTTAAACAATGCTACTGTGAACCTTTGTGTGCAGATTTTTGTGTTTTCATTTCCCGAGTATATACTAGAGTGGAATTGATAATAAGGTTACCTGACTAAACATCTGAGGAACTTGCAAATATTTACAAAAAGGCTGCACGTTACATTTCCACCAGCGGTTTATGAGGGTCCCAGTTTCCACGCATCATCGCCAACACGTACTGACCTAGTGAGTGTCAGTACTTCCGTTTATAAAGTGATATAACTGCTTTTAAGCAACTGATGTTTGTAAAGTTGGCCTTAGTTAATGTTCGTTTGCTCTGCCCTTGAATTTAAAAAGCGAGCAAAACTAATAGCTTATTCAGTGGCCTCTGAACGGCCTAGCTGCCACCTTCCCTGTGGGTGCCGCGCCATTTGCACGGGCGTCATCCTTTACCGAGGTAGCGTTCTGAATTTCAATCCTGCGTTCTGGGTCACGGAGTAATCAGATCAGGCTTTCTTCCCGGAGCGGAGCTTTCAGTTGGGCACCTGGGAGATGCAGGACTTGCGCGTTACCTGCAGGACGCAGAGCCGGAAGTCCCGCCGCATCCCCATGGGCAACACTGCTGCGTGCCGCGCGCCCCGGAGCTGACGCAGGCGCGCCTTTGTCGTCCCCCTTGAGGGTGCCCATTGGCTCGGCTGCGGCTCGTCCCTCCCTCCGGAAGTGCGGACATTGTCAGCTGCGTTTCCGCGGTCGCGGGTGAGTGTGTGTCCCGGCTAGCGGCCTGGGTTGGGCTTAGTAGCTGCTCCGCAGGCCCAGCCCGGGCCGCGCTCGCAGAGTCCTAGCCGGTGC